TACTTACCTGGTTATCCCTGAATTTTTTTGGCACGCGTCGAAGGCATGACTGAGAAATGTTTTGCCTGCTAACCAATGGATTTCAAGGTCACTATGCAGCTTTATTTTGATTGGATAGAACTTCTAGAAAACCATGTGTACGCTTTTTTCATAACAAAAGTGTTTGACTTTGATGGCGGACGGACGTATTCTTTATGGAATCAAGCAAAAATGTTATTCATTTAATTGCCGGAGGGTTAGTAAATTATTTTATTATATTTTAAAGTCTATTTTAACCAACTAAATACAATGTTGACAGGTTATGTTATCTAGATCTAGATCTAGGTTCTAATAGGGAAACAAGTTTGAAAAATTTGGAAAACAAAATTTTGGAAGCAAATGACGAAATGTGTATTTATTTTTGACTGCTTAAAGTTGCTGTGTTTACGCATGCCTTCTTCAAATTGTTGCATAGACTACTTTACTCCTTTCCCGTTCATTCCCATTCATACACTGTACACAGTAGTGTTTCGTTTTGTGTAAGAACACTTGGCCCTAATCTCTGATTGAATGCTAAAGTAAAAGTTATAACTACACACACACACTATTGAACTATTTTAGTTACTAATCAATCTAAAATTTATGATAGAGGAGTTCATAATTCATGTAACAATTCTTTTTAACATTATTCATTATTTAAATAGAAAAAAGAATCTAGTAAAAATTAAAATAGTTATTACAAAAGCAGTTTTCATGCATTTTTAAATGGATTAGGCTAACCAAACGTTATTTTGTTTAGAATTGACATCAGTTCTAGATCTAATTGTGGCACACAGCTCAGCAGGTCTTAAACTACTTTTAAGCTTGAAAATCACCCCCTCCCCCATACAGGACAAACTGTTAATTTACTATTGAATTCAACATCAAACAGGCAGGTGTAAAACTTGATCATAAATAGATCTTGTTGATACAAGACTTAAATTAATAATCCAGCTTCGGCCATACAAATCCTACCGAACTGCTAATAATATAGGCAATATCAGTAATCTTACATTTGTTACATTTACAAAAACTGACCTAAATTTATGATTTCAGTTTCTTAAACTACATTTTCACTGACTGTATGGCATATTGTATGCCTATATAAGTATATTAATCATTAAGTACCCTAGTTAATTGTTAAGAAATTCATATTTACAATATTGTCAAATTGTTTGTAGTTATTAATATAAATGTTCTGCACTACAATAATTTAATGTCTTTTTGCATTACATTTTTTTTAGCACGGCTGGGACCACAGGAGCAGTGTTAACATGTCCACTGGAAGTAGTAAAGACTAGGCTACAATCTTCTGTGTCCTCATCTTTTATCCATGTGAATGTGCGCTCAGCGTTGCGCATGCTGCCATCACAGCAAGTGGTCACCATTAGTACTTGTTCACATAACTGCCAAGTGAATGACAATGTTTTGGATAACAAAAAGTACAGGTTGAGCCAGTCGCAGCTTGTTAACTGTCTCAGGTAGGGATTTGTTTCATTCGTTTAATATTCCCTCTGCTGCAGTGTTTACTAGATGCTTCATTAATTGACAAAAGGTACAACAATAATTATACATTACACCAAGGTTTTTTTTTTTTTTGAGTGTTGGGGGTAACTATGCTAGCCGAATTTATTTGCCTAATTCATATTCAGTTTTTTTTGTTTCAAAATGAACTTCATGGTGGTTTAATTAGCAACAGATAGTCCTTTATAGATAAATCCTTATAATGCACAAGTTGATAGAACATCTATGTGGGATAAGAAATTTTAAAATTAAACCTATTTCTTGCAGTTTTCCCCCTTTACAATGACACAATGTCGCTCCAATCTTAATTCAGGGGTTATTTCATCTATATGTAGTGGATATCTTTTTTACTGTTAAATCTTTGAAATATATTGGAACAGTTCAGGCTTTAGTACACTGCTAAAATGCACCACCGACTGAAACAAGTCACCATAGCAATATTTTAAAACAATTAATTGTGAAGCACAAATGGATTTTCCTCAGCATCATTTAACATTTGAAAACTTAGTCACTGATGTCTTCGTTTTATCAACAGACACATTCTCAAAACAGAAGGAGTTAAAGGATTGTTTAAAGGACTTGGTCCAACTTTAGTTGGAGTAGCTCCGTCTAGGTGAGTGTTCTTGGTTTTTCATGACTTTTTGTTTATATTTAAGAAAGTAATAAGAATGAAAATTGTTTCTTTCTCATTAGACATGTTTTGTTCTGTATAGATGTTTCTGACAGCTTTTTTTCTCTAAAAGATACTATTGTTGTGGATGTTGTAACTTGTATGTAGTGTAAAAGGTAGGGTTATGGATCCCACAAATTGTTCTGCTGTAAATTTCTCCTTAAGCAGTTACTGATACACATTCCTAATTTAAACATAAACAATTAGGACCTTATGATTGATGTTTAAGCTGTTTACTTTTCGACTATATCATTTTGTTTATCATTGTGCTAATCTTTGAATTATAAAATACTTTGCGTCGGAAGATTTTATATCAATTGCATTTAGTATCCTTGGATTTTGTCAACACATTTTGTAGCCAGTTGTTTATAAGTTGGCACATGACCCCATTATATATAAACTGGAGTGCTGTGTTTAGCTATTAATGACTTGTGGTATGACAGTTAACATATCCTGGTTTAGTAACACCCACATCCCCTTTAAACTGTAAACTACTTGCAGACAATTGGTGTTTGTTGACTTGAAGTTAATGTTAATCTCTAGTCATTGTTGGGTCTGCTTAGTGCTAGTTATTAGTGGGCAGTTTAAATCCTATGTATAGTGGTATAAATGTTTTACTGCAATTGGGGGAGGAGGGGCGTTAAGTGTCTAGTAAATAAATTGTTCTGTTTATCTTGCAAGTGGGCTGGCTGTTATGTTTTAGAGGTCATGTTTAGTTTTTAAAACTTGGTGTAGCCAAGTCACCAGTAGTGAATGCAGAACATTCCCTGCATGCTGCTGTGGAGTTTCATCCAAATATCTTTGGACATGTGGGGCTAAAATTAGAAACTATGCCTTCTTTAATGTCATAGACAATTTGAATGCAAGTAGGCCTGTATCATTCCATGTTAGTTATTATAGGATATCCATTCACACTTTATGTGCTTGGTCCTTTATTTTGTTTACAAGTTGTGAAAATGGATCTGTTTGGGTTTTTAAAATTTTAGTTCTGAGTGAGTTGTGCCTTCTGTTAAAATCTATAAGGCAACTCACCCATGTTTTATATATAGATTTGTTCCCTACTGACCTACATTCTCCCCCCCATTGGAAAAATGCCAGGTTTTTTTTTTTCTGTTGAGTGCATGCAGGTTCCAGTCTAGTGATCTGCTTCACTGGTTTGTTTGATGTTTAATTGATTCTGGTCTCATCTGTGTGGTAATGGTTGTGGTGTGTAGTTTTGATTGTCGTTTTGATCTTGTGTAAGTTGGGTTGGCGCTGTGTGTGTGGGGGGGGGGGGGGTTGCTTTGATTGGGCGTTTAGTTTGTTACTAATACTTTCAGTTAATTTATTTTTGTTAGCCTCACTTTTAGGTTAACTTAACAATCCATCCTCCTGTAATTGTTTTTAAATTTAACATAGTTGTATTTGTTACAAATGTGTGCTTTGTGCACTCGTACAATGTAACAATAGACCTTTAACTTGTTTACATCTGTGAGAATCTATCTTATTCACCCAGTATTTTTCCGCATTTCTATTTTAATCCAATATGGTCCTTTGAAGTTTCCTATGTAGTATTAGTTGTACTAGGTAGCAATAGTACTATCATCCTTGTGATTACTCATAGCTGCTTCTGTAACAGATGAGTGTTCTTGTTCCTTGACACTTGATACACATTGGCTTACTTAGCGGCACATTAAAATCAGTGGTGCTGCATTAATGGTACATAATTAATTCAGTGGTTCTCAACTTGGTGCTCCCTGCATTTTATTTAAAATATTACACTTCATAGTTCTGAAGATTGCAATGCTCTTGTCCTTTCTTTCTGAATTGTTAATAAGTTTATTATAATAATTATGTATTCTAGTACTTTCTCTGTTTATGGGAATCCCTGATTTAAACAATTCATGGAGAGTGGGTAATGGTTCAAATTAACACAATAGGATGATGCTGTGATAATTGCATTCTTCCATGTTTACATCATTGTGAACATTAAGGCCTACACATCAACCGATAAATGGATCAAAGTGGTCTTGTAATGCAGCAATAGCATAGATTTTTAGATGAATTGTTGTGACTTGTAATGCCAAGCAGTTAAAAAGTAGATAACTCTATTTAGATGAGATTGGGTTATTCTTCTTTACTAGTGCATATTTACCCTTGGTTATGTTGTTGGTGGTTGGCATTCCAAGTACACTCGGTTGTTGTGAGTCACGCTGGTTTATGGCTAAGAATAAGACTAAAGCCTTCAGTAAATGGATACAGTGAGGCGAGCACATGTAACCTTGACCCAGTTACCTTGTTTGGGGTAAACACAAGATCAATAATGCTAGTACTGTACTAACTTTTCCAAAGTTTTCTCAATTAAAATAAGTAGGAATTCTATTGTTTTGTATTTGTATATTAAACGTGGTGGGGGGGGGGTGACCTGAGGTCACCTGTTGCAGAAGTGAAGGGGTCATTGCTGTGTTGCTATCATGGTCATCGTTGGGTCGCTGTGTGCCTCAGGAGCGCCGGTCTGTGGTGCGGCTAGACTAGACTGGGATTGTTGTATTCTGTTGCCGGCTGTTGAACTTAAACATCCATCTAGGTCAAGTGGGGGGGGGGTTACATCCCTATTTTAAAAAGTTGATAGCATCTTGCTATGTAGTTACTGTCACCATTATCAGTTTAACTTTTTTTGGTGTGTTAAATTTACTTCTGCTGTAAATCACGCATAAAAGACAAGTTTACTGGTTTTGGATAGCGTTAAAGTGTTTTCGGGCGGCTCAACCGATTGAACAGAGTACAGATTCCATTAGGATATTTGTCATAGCTGAGTTGGGGTTGTCCATATATGACGTCACACTCGTAGGGGGGAGGGGGGTCAGCTATTTTGTGACGATGAGGGGGAGGGGGGGGGGGTTCAGATGGTGCGACGTCACACTTTTGCATTATAAAAAAGCAATGTTAGAAAACTAATTTTAGCTGTTATTTCGCTTTTTTGAAAACTGTCTTAATAAATTGTAATAAGAATTGATTACAATAATTTATATTGACAAAGTTCAGGAGTTCAGACAAGATTTTGGTATTAAGAAATTCAACTGGAATTTTGAGGGGGGGGTGTAGGCTGAGGTGTGACGTCATTTTAGGTCTGGCTGTTTGTGACGGAAAGGGGGGGGGGGGTAAAAGTAGTCAAAAAGCCTAACGTTTCTGGATGACCCGGTAAAACATAATAAAAAGCTTTAGACTTTGGGAAGTGTGGCCGTCGTATAACTCAGACCAGTGTATGTAAAGCATACGGTTTAGATTTGACAATACATGCGTGACTCAGTTGAATGTGAGTTGGCGAGTACAATGAGATACTACTTGCAAGAATACGGTTTTTTAAATACTTTCACAAGTGTTAACTGTGCCATTATCAAGCCACGTTATCTGTAGTATTTGATTAGCATGTTTTTATTCGTTACCTTGATAACGTTCATGGACACTTGCATCTATCTGCTCTCCCCAGCTGTATCTTCTGGCTTAGTCTCTGAATGTTTTTCTATCTAGTCATACGCGTCCACTCACCCCAACACCTTGATACCCCCCCCCCCCCCCAATAAAAGCCATCGGCCTACATCTGGTGCCGACCTGGTGATGAGACAGCGCACAGCTTGAGCCGTCTTATTTCACTGAACTGGTTCTCTACTGCTTGGGTTCACTAGTCTCGATTTCCTATTGTACAGGCTTACACTATATGGTGCTTTAATCTCCTTTATTTACTGGAGCATAATGTTTGTAAAAATTTAATATTTATATACTAAAGCGTTTTTTTCCTCCTGGGGGGGGGGGGGGGGTGGGGGGGAATGTGTGAAGGGCACTTAAAATTGACGTGGGGGAGGGTAGGGCGGACACTGGTTAAGGTATAGATTTTCTTCACTCATTGTATATCTTTTCTATTTCTTCCGTCTGGGAACATTGTGCTACCCCTCCCCTCAGTAGTAAGGCTGTCATTCTGGCACAAGATGTAGAACCAATGGCTTACAATATAAAATCCTAACTGTACATGGCACATTTTTAAAACGCTTGGCCTTGATATTTAAATCGGGGCAGTCTGACCTAAGGATACTCGCTCACTCTGAGAATCGGTAAACATGCAGCATTCGTAGACAGATCCTTGTTACGTATTGGCTGTTTGTTGCTGGCTGACCCTTTAAACACGAGTTTACTTGATAGTGTTTACCTGTATCACGTGTAGCCTACTTCTAACAGTTTAGAAAAATCTCGTAAAAAAACGCAACTATTTTTCAGTGTTTTGTAAAATTAATCTAGATCTAAGCCTGTCTGCATTAGTTTCTAGTTTGAGAGCGCACATAAACACCTGTTTTAAATCACTTCATTACATCAGTCCTGTTAAACGGGAAAGGCAATCTTTAAACTTAAACACTTGCGTTTAAGTACCGACTCATAACACGACATATTTTCGGTTCGTCCTTGACCCCACTAGACCCAAGCCCGATTGCTCTTAAAACCAACACTAAACAAGCCTCTGCGCTCTGGCCTTTCCTTCGTTGTTTTCACCTAGATCTCTATAGCCACTGTAGTTTATACTGGCATGGACATCAAAACTTTGCCCCGGTTTTTTTTCTGGGGGTGGAGAGGGGGGTTGTCACGTGACTGATTTGTACACCATTTGTCCGTCTGCTGAACAACTTACCACGATATAGTTCTTTAGGTTCTAACTTCTATGTTCCCGCAATAAACTTCTCCTTCCCATTTCTTATCTGATAAATTAAAGCCTGTGCTTTTTTTTTATGAACGAAGTCTTGTTTTATTGCAAGAAGCGTGTGCTGATGTGTTGTACTTTGAACTCGCTCGAGACAATACTTTTTTTTTTTACCCGCCACTTCCCTTGTCACCTAGCGTCTATAAATAGACCGGGTTAAAAACGAATTGTGACCTAGATACGCACGATATGACCGAATGCGCGAAACGAAAGTACACAACGGTGTAGTATCTTCACCATTACAAAAGTTGTTTGTTGATAGTACAGCTCATGATAGTGTTGACGAGTGTTGACTGCAATCAGTGCTGCGCTAAATGCGTTGAATTTCGCGGCTTACACATTTGTATCACACGTGAACGGCGCGGAGATTATACATGACGCGTTACATTTAAAACTTATGTTTTTGTATAGTCTACATTTAATAAAAACAGAATTGGAGTTAAGCAATAAATAGCTATTATAGCTCTTGAGCTGTTTAAAATAAACGGATAACAATTAAAATAGGAGTGGACTACCTGGTTAGTGTTTAGTGAAATTGACTTGTACAAATACCCACAGCAACCCCAACACTCCTGTAGCTCCTTCATTATTGCTGTTTAGAGATTCCTCCCCCTACTCCTTCCATTATCAAATGGTAATCAGAGTTGTAAAATTGAACAGCTTTTACCAAATGTTATCATATGGGGTTTGAAGTCAAAGTAAACAACAAAAATAAACAACAAATATAGGATATTTACTTCACAAACATGTAGTGCACAACAGTTAAAGTATTTCTATATGCACTGAAGTATTTTGAGTTGTTGAAAGAACTACAAAGGTGTATAAGCTAGTTTAAACAAGTCATTCAGTCACTGTTGGTGTCTTAATTTAGCTGAGCCATATAATGCTTGGGTGACTCTAGATAACATGTTTACTAGAGTATTGTTCCATTTTAGGTGGAAAGGATCACCTATTTGGGGCCTATCTTATCTGAATTTTTATAAATTATGGCCAGAAAATTTATGAATGAAATACTCCTTGTGGAAGTTATTTGAAAATTTTAGTCAAAAGAAATAATCATAAACAGTTCAGTAAACTGTAACCAGCAGCAGTAGTGTTTTGCTTACCTCGCTTCAAACACTGAGCCAGTCAATAGCCTACAGCTGTGTAACAGATAACTAGTTCTCAGATACATTGGCTGTTACCTGTCCCAGAATAGGGGCCAACATTTTTTCTATAGTTATGAACTAGTTGCACCACTTACATCTAGCTCTCCTGTACATGTGTTAGGTATTTTGTGCAATTCTTTCATGTCTTTTTAGATACAACTTAACTGATTTTTAAACATCAAGATGAAAGAAATTTCTTAATTTTAGAGCACCACAATTTTGTATATGGTGTCTCTAGGATGACTCGCTTTGTTCCAAGTGCAGGAAAGTAAACATGACTAGGTGTAATGTCCACAACCCCTTCATGTGTGGTGGTTAAAGAAGCTACTTGATGACAAATGATTGCAATGCATTACTTTTGATTTCCATCTAAAACAGTTAATCAGATTTTTTATTGCTAAAGGCTATCCTGGCGTTGGCAATCCATTACAGTGATGAAAATGTAAAAATGAATATTAATTTAGAACAAGATAAATTACAAAGCAATTTTATAAAAAAATATTAATCTAAGATGGCCTATATTTCAAGCAGTGAATTTCATCAGATTGTGATTATTGATTTCTGCTAACATTGGTCCCCCATGCTCTACTGATTTACTTATTTTTTTCCACCTTGAGCATAGCTACGGTTGACTGATCTACTTTAAAAAGTGTGTGCGAGGTTGTCTGTCTGCTTCATGTCATGTAATCTTAGTGCACTTTCTGTGACCCAGTTTCATAACTAGTTGGAACTTGACCTTGTCTCACTCCTGGGTGCTGCCTCATCTGTAGTGTGCGTTTTGTTGCATCAGTAAGCACATGAGATTGTCTGTTTTTTGTGTCAGTAAGCACAGGGGATTGTCTGGTTTTTGTCAGTAAGCACATGGGATTGTCTGGTTTTTGTGTCAGTAAGCACAGGGGATTGTCTGTTTTTTGTGTCAGTAAGCACAGGGGATTGTCTGTTTTTTGTGTCAGTAAGCACAGGGGATTGTCTGTTTTTTGTGTCAGTAAGCACAGGGGATTGTCTGTTTTTTGTGTCAGTAAGCAAAGGGGATTGTCTGGTTTTTGTGTCAGTAAGCACAGGGGATTGTCTGGTTTTTGTGTCAGTAAGCACAGGGGATTGTCTGGTTTTTGTCAGTAAGCACAGGGGATTGTCTTTGTGTCAGTAAGCACAGGGGATTGTCTTTGTGTCAGTAAGCACAGGGGATCGTCTTTGTGTCAGTAAGCACAGGGGATTGTCTTTGTGTCATTAAGCTCAGGGGATTGTCTGTCTCTTTTGCATCTTATTCATGTACATGTAAAATTATGCTAAATGAAATGAGTTTTAAGCATTTGTTTACAACTTGGATTGTCTGTTGACATATCAATTTTGCAGATTGTACAATAATTTTTAAAGTCAACATTTTTTAAAGAATTAAATTGAAGCTTTATCTTTATACCACAGTTGCATTTCTTACAGAAGTTGTCACCAGAAATTTAACTCACTTTTTATATTTCTAATTTCTCTCCCCAGAGCCATCTATTTCGGTGCCTATGCCAAGAGCAAGCAAGTGTTAAACAATGTTATCACACCTGACACACACTTCGTCCACCTGTGCTCAGCAGTGGCTGCAGGTAACTTGTTTCTCATTCATTAACCTCAGCAGTTGGTTCTTGACTTTTCTCAAAGAAAACAGATACACACCTGTAGTTTTTAGCTGTAGACATGAAATAATTTATGCAAAAAAAAATTAAGGTTAATCAAGACACATTTATAATCCTAGCATTTACTTTATGGGGCATCTAAACCAGATCCTTTTTGTTGGGTTATATTTTTAACGGCTCATATAGATGTCATAGAATTTGTTATGAAAACAATCCACTCATTTACCCAGTGAATAATTTGTTGTCCCTTCTTCCTTTTGACCCCTACAGGTATGTCAGCAGCCACCTGTACCAACCCTATCTGGTTTGTCAAAACTCGGCTTCAGCTAGACCAAAAGTAAGTTTGTTTTCTCCTGGCTGATCTAATTATAACCCCCTCAAATAGCTGCACTACTTAATGGCCTGGATGCTTTAGCTGCACTACTTCCTGCCTTTTCTGCCCTAGAATTTTCTATAAGACACCCTGGGGTGTGTGGTCCTTGTGTATTAACCATAACCAAGACAAAAGTGCGGCCCTATCTTCTTGAACCTGCTCTCGCACCCACTTGTTAAAACTTTAACCCTAACTACATTGATGCTATGAACTGATGTTGAACTAATCTTTATTGTAACTGAAAATTGAAGTGTTCATATGACTAGGGTATTTACAATAAAAATGAACACCGGTAACCCACCCCCCCCCCCTTTCACACACACCCCTGCTTACACCATTGGATGTCTTTATTGAAATATTTATTAGAGATGTTCATTTATTTCAAATTTGTTTAAAAAAAAAAAACCCTTAGTTTGTGGTAAGACTATGTGCTGAATTGTAAACCAACGTTATAGCTACAAGTAAAGCTTGCGTGATCTTGGCCCCGTGTAGCCCTTCAACGACTGCACGTGATGTTGGCCCCGTGTAGCCCTTTAACGCCTACACGTGATGTTGGCCCAGTGTAGCCCTTCAACGCCTACACGTGATGTTGGCCCCGTGTAGCCCTTCAACGCCTGCACGTGATGTTGGCCCCGTGTAGCCCTTTAACGCCTACACGTGATGTTGGCCCCGTGTAGCCCTTTAACGCCTACACGTGATGTTGGCCCCGTGTAGCCCTTCAACGGCTACACGTGATGTTGACCCCTTTAACGCCTACACGTGATGTTGGCCCAGTGTAGCCCTTCAACGCCTACACGTGATGTTGGCCCCTTTAACGCCTGCACGTGATGTTGGCCCCGTGTAGCCCTTTAACGCCTACACGTGATGTTGACCCCTTTAACGCCTGCACGTGATGTTGGCCCCGTGTAGCCCTTTAACGCCTACACGTGATGTTGACCCCTTGTAGCCCTTTAACGGCTACACGTGATGTTGACCCCTTTAACGCCTGCACGTGATGTTGGCCCCGTGTAGCCCTTCAACGCCTACACGTGATGTTGACCCCTTTAACGCCTGCACGTGATGTTGGTCAGACCAGTAAAATCCATGGATATGAAGCCAAGTTGAAGTTTCTTCATGTTCTACAAAACACATGGACTAGATTTTGGTAAACAGCTAAAGTTTAACTGTAAAATTTGGCACATGATAATGTAACGTAACTTATCTGACTCTTCAGTACAAAAAGCTACTTTAAATAGTAACTTTCAAGGTTCGTTAATCTTGCGTGATATTTTGTTCAACAACGGAATCTTTAAAGTTTCGTGTGTAACTTAGATCTATACAGATAAAACACGGCTACCGTGTAGCGAGAAGCCTCTTGTGTTGACTGATGCGCTGGAGGCGTGGGCTTTTGCTGGTCACGTGGGCTGTGTTGGTCACGTGGGTTTTGTTATTGACTAGTTTGTTTACCTGGGTGTGTGCATGTTAGTTGGCAAAACCATTGTACTACAGATGTGTTGAGATAGACACGTGCTGTGAGGGCTCACATGCCCACTGGGTGACATCATTTGTAGCTCCTCCCCTCTCCCCCCCCGTGTGGCGTGCTTACACTTACCACCTATAATGCTCAAATCTGTGTTAAGGTATGACTAATTTAAAAAAATAAAAGATTAGTTGAAAATGTAATTGATAAAAAAATTACTGAAAATACCCCTTCCTATTTTTATTGCCCCCTTCCCCCTAAATATTCCTTATAGATTCTAGATATCCCACTAAGACCTCAGGTATGTTTGCACGCACCAGTTTGTCGTCCTTGTGCTCAGAACGAGGTTACCTACGTCACCATTTGGCGCTCTCACTGCTAGTTGACCTTTTGGTTCGAATGATAACGTCGTGCTGTAAACGTGACCTTAGCCAGCCGCACAACACGGCAAGACTAACGGCTAGGACGGGAAAAACTGCCTTGCTGTATCTCATTAGAAACACAATGACATTTGTCTAGTTGCTAGTTTAGATGTTCAAACTCTAAAACTAAAACCGGAGTAGGGGAAGGGGAGAGAAATCCGCATATGTAAATAGATCCTAGTATAAACACCGTGGCATGACCATACATCTTCAAGGGTTACTTCCCATTACTACCCCGCTTCATCCCTTCCCCTACGTGATCTTCCGCTCCAACCCCTCCCCCCCCCCCCCCTCCCCCATGTGACTGGACCTGTCCTTTGTTGGCCTGAATAAATTCAATTTCTACTGATAGAAATCTCTGCCCAGGTATGCAAATGAAAGATGTAGGCAGTGAATAGGATTCAGCCTTCCAAGTGTCTTAGCCAAATAGTTTAAAACTGTCACTTGCTGGTCCTTGTGGCTCATTAGAGGATTTGTGGACAAAACTAAATGTTTAGCGTTTAGTCAGCCAGAGTCAGCAAAATATAAGCTTGTTGGTGTCAGATCAGTGTCTGTAGAAATCTCAAACTGAATTTATTTTGGGCTTAGGTGGTGCCATTTTCTATATTTTGGCACAATGGATTACATAGGATCTGTGGTATTTTAATGAATTTATCATTGAGATTCATTGGGTCCATGGAGGCTTTTTGCTGTTTAAATAAAAAATATTTTAAAAAAACCTAGGGACTAGTCTAAAGAGGCACCATCTCCCTCAGACTTTAGCTGACATGGCATCTTGTATTAAAAATTGCAGATGAGGTCAATTTTACTGTATCTTAGATATTGGCTTAGCCACCATGTTTTTACATTGCCCTAATCTATCTCTTGGTCTTTCAGAGTGGAGGGCAAGCTGACATGCAGAGAGTGCATCAAGAGGATCTACAAACAGAATGGCATTCGTGGGTTTTACAAGGGCATTAGCGCTTCTTACTTTGGTGTTAGTGAGACTGTCATACACTTGGTCATCTACGAGACCATCAAGGCCCATTTACAGCAGAAAACTAACCATGATAGGATTGAGCCTGTGGACGGGGAGATGGCCACAAATCTTTCAGCCAATGAGAAGGAATCATTCCTTACATCGGATTATTTGAAGTACATGCTGGCTGGTGCTTGCTCAAAGACATGTGCCACTACGTTGTGCTATCCTCATGGTAAGTCTGCTACTTTCTGAAACTTTATAAAGCTGTATTCTTTGGGCAAGATACTGTGGCTTATTGAGGTTACGTAAAGTTATAATTGCATGTTGAAATAACTTGAAGGGTGGTCAAATAGTTTATTTTCTGGACGAGATTCTTTACGTCATACCATTTCTAGTTTCCTTCTTCAAATGGATGTTTTATCTTATTTTTATTTTATTTTAAATTTCAGAAGTTGCAAGAACAAGATTGAGAGAGGAAGGATCTCGCTATGTTTCCTTTTTTCAAACCCTATTCCTGGTCTTCAAGGAAGAGGGGCGGGCTGGGATTTACAGAGGACTGGGCACCCAGCTGATCAGACAGATTCCAAATACAGCTGTCGTCATGGCAACGTATGAAGCAGTGGTTCATGCTCTGATGCCAGTGAATGGTTAATTCATTAAGACTATGGTTTCGTTATTGGCTGGGATGTCCGATCTAATACCTTCTTCCAGAGAATAAATTCCAGAGTTTCACTAGCCATGAATGGAATCAACTGAGCTACAGCATCCACTTCAGTTTCCAGTTTTTTTGTTGTTAAATCTGCCAAGGCGGAGTTTGTTTTGAAGTTGCTAGAACCCCCACCTTAGATGAGGATGGGTGTTAACTGAGCTCATTTACAGTGCCAGTATTATAGAAAGTCTGGATGCATTCTTAGTGTTGGTAGTGACTGGTTTTAAACTGCCGCAGAGGCAACTTAGGTTTCCAGAAAGTAAACTGCTTCATTGTACTATGTCCAGGTTTAAAATTAGAATTCACTTTTTTTGTTCTTGTACACTTATTTTGGCAGTTACATTGCATCAAAATATTTGCATACAATGTTTACAAAATTTGAGTCATTTTGAAAATTTAAAATTGTTGAAGCCTTGTCCACCATTTTGGAAACCTAGACCAATGTGGCCTTTCATTAAATCATTCAGTCAACTACACATTTTCTCAGGGCCTTTTGTCTGAGTGCATAGAATAATGTCCCATAAAAACTGCTCCTGCAGTGTGCCTGTTAGACTGGGTATTCTATCAGTTCCACTTGCTCAACTGAGGTTTTCTCCCTTTGCATAGAGTTGCAGCCCTTCACATGGAATACTAACACAATATGAATTTTAAAATATTTACAAAAGATACACTAAATCTTAATTTTCTTATTTCAATATCTTTAATATCAGGCTTATTTTTCAGTTCTGTTCTATCTTCTTATTGTATTTTTAAATTTAATTCAAACCAGATGCAATAGCTGAAAACTAACATTGTGTTGTGCATTGTTAATTATGGAAGGGCTGGAGAGTCAAAGTATGACTGGTAATGTCTGTATGATATTGCGTGTACAAAAAGAAATGATATTAGCTGTTTTGATGTACACATTTGTGTGAATTTTTGTACTATTTAATTGCAAGTTTGGGCAAGAAATGTCAGGAGTAAAGATTTTCTTTAATACATATTTAATTTAATATGTTGGTGGCCAAAGCTTTTACAAGTGTTAATTAGCATTTATTTCCTGAAGCAAAATTCAAAACCTGCTTATAACCATACTTTTCTAGCTTTACATAAATTCAATTGTCTTTTTAATTAACAATGCTTTAGCGTAAACCTACAATTCTCAAGATTTTGTAAAGACTTCATATTTCTCAGAATTTTTCAAAGCATTAGGTTTTTAACAGGACTCTAAAATTGTCTTGCTTTACAGTGCCTTTTATTGTTTTTGCTAATTTTTTTTTGCATGTTTTAATTAACACTAATTCTTGATGTACAGTTTTAATACTTTAAACTTTAAGTTTTGTTTACTATGTTCAATTCAGGTGTTTAACCAAACTAGTCAATAGTAAAAAATTGAATTTAATCTTTATCAACACCATTATTTCCTAAATGGGATAGCCGCTTTTAGGTTGTGACATGCATGTAACCAATTTATATTTGAAGTGAAGTCAGCTTATCAGTTTAAGTGTAGTTTTAAATTATCTGAAGAAAAGTAATACGACCTTGAGTATTTAATGTGCTTTTGGAATAAATCTAGTGTAAATATATTTTTGGTACCAAACATTTTTCAAAGTTCGTGATTTTTGAAGTTTTTGTAGATGGATGATGCATTTTAGTTATATTTTGGTGTACAAGAAGCTGTGTTTGAGAAATCAACAATAGCATTGAATACTTTGTTGTTGTAAAACCATTTGTTAGCATGTTAGCTGGACCAAATGAATCAAGTGGATCATGTTGAATACTTTTTGAATCTGTATGAGAGTTGATACACACATGGAGCGGTGTTTGTGAGGATGATTTGAGGATTTAATAAAGTTGCATAAAGTGCAGTGTTGATTTTCTTGAATTTGTTATGAATATTGTGATTGGGAGATGAGGGTCTCTAACATGTCATGTTCACTTCAATTACTTCCTAGATCAACATATTGCTACAAGTGCAGCTTCTCCTTTACATGTGCGCCCACCCACCCATTTGGTAGATGACTAAGTGTAATATAAAAAATTACATACTACACTTTGACAAGATGTGCTTATGGCACAATTAAATTCATAAGTTTTCCTTAGTTTGAAGGGGAAGTGATAAGCACAAAGACAGTCTACCTTAACTTTCCCAGACTGGAATCTGGTATAATTCATTTTAAAAAATTAGATTGTTCATAATCTGTGTTTGCTTTGAATGATCGCTCACTTCTCATTTATTTAAGAGTATTTTCAGCCACTTAACCTCAATCTTTTGGGCTCACAGCTTTGTGAATCCTGTTCACCTGACCAATAGTTGTCTGTACCATTTAGTTTTTGCCCATAATAAATCAAATATTTATGAAATGCAAATTTGGAAAGATAGCACTATTGCAACTTGAAAAAATACTTGACACCTTACTAGAAACAATGGGACAAATGTTCATAGACAGAAATAAAAACAACCTTACCTCACTTATTTAAAAAGAATTAAAACTTTATATTTTTACTGATTTATTGCATAACATTATAAGCTTGAAATTTGCTACATGAAATAAGCAATCACCAGAAAGTATAAAATTAAATGTTTGCATATATTTTTCTTATTTGCACAATGAGCACCAATGATTGTTTATAATGTTGCTTTTGTAATTGTATGGAAAAACAAACAACCCAATATCACAAAATGTGTAACAAGGCACTTAAATTACAATCTTCAACATTTACAAAAAATAACACTGAAGAATTATTCTCATCTTCATTACAGTTAATCTTTTAAAACCCACTGATTGATTGAGCTAAATTAGAAAAGTCTTCAATGTTGATACAAGCAAAAGCTTATTTATATATCATAAGCCATTTGAGGGGAATATATTTTTATTGCTGACCACTGTATGGTATAACAAACATCAATTACAAGAAGAAATAATGCAAACTTTTAATTAAAGAAGCTGTTAAAGTAAGAAGTTTAAACTTATGGTCTGAAAGTTTTCCCCTCATCTTTGGGTGTAGAATTCTACACTATTTGAGTAGAACACATTTCTAAGTAAATTAAACTCTTCACAAAATAGGCTACCTCAGAAAATAACATCACAATCAATCGTTCACTTCCTGCATCCAGCAGAAAGTGAAGTCCATCCACTTGGATAGTTACAGACCACAAAATGGAAACTTAAATTGCTTAAAATTTTTAAACAGAAGTACTGTGTATGTTTGGCCAGAAATTGTTTATGTATTACATATGTAGGAAAAGAAGCAGTTGACTATGTATTAATGGACAGTGTAAGGACAGATGACTTGAAAGTAATAAATAACATGGTAAAAGTAATGAAGCTTTTGTGTTACTTTGAAGTGTTATGAGGAATAAGAGCCTCTGATTGTTTTATTTCTAGAAGGTTGTTAGAACTGTACTAAGGAATCTGTCAAAATGAGAAAGGTGTGGTAATATCCCAAAACTAAGTTCCCTGTTAGTCCAATAAACTTATAATTTAAGTGAAGGGTTCAAGGTCCTTGTAAATCTACCTTTATCTACCATCTGGTGTTGAACCTTGATGGGTTAGTGGTAGTGGTGAACAGGATCATCTAAGGACCAACAGATTGAACACATAACTTGGTGGGGTGAGAATTAAAAAATCACCACCCCAATCCTAACTCGGAATCCAGTTGTAAATCTTCAGATGTAAAAGTATTAATTTTTTTCTCCATAGATTCCAATTTTCAGTGTTTGTGTATAAAATTAAATCTATACACAAAATATAACAGAATTCACAGATTAAGATGACAATAAATTTACTGTTGTTTGCATTCAGCTGCGTTTTCTGTCACTTCGCTGTAAGTAACATTACGATACTTCCCAGTTCCATTCTGTGCCTTGAGAATGTTACCTTTCCCGTCAGGTTTCAAAGTTTTAACTGTCTGGTCACCCTGGGATGATAGGACACTGACTTCATTCTTCATCCTCACTGACTTGCTTTTATTCCCCCCAAACAGGTCATTGACCCTAACTGGCATGTTTTCTTTGGTGTTACTAGGTGGGTCAAACAGTGTACTTGGGTCAAGTGGGGTCATGAGGTTTTGTGTGGAGGAGTGAGCCCCTCCTTGATTGGCTTGATGGGACTCTGAGAGGGAGATCTTAACCTTTTCTTTTGAAGGTGGAGCAAAGCGTTCTGCAGAGCAAAAATATTTTACAGCTTTAGTTTATACATATCAATTCAAAAGTGATGTGAGATTTTAAAAATTGACAATTTTTAAAGATTACGCTAAATACTAACGCAATATTTTGAAGTATTGGACTGATAAAACAATTACAAATGTGCAGAAGAAGGAAATCCACTATAAGTTTAAACAGAACATGAAACCTAGACTAGATTACTTTGATATAGAGAAAATCAGTGAGATTAAGTTGTAAACTGTATGCCAATGGTGCAGCTAATGTTTAAAGAATGTTGTAATTTTTAGGTCACTCACCTGGCTCATACTTGTGCTGCATCTCTTGTATGGTCATGTTGAGGTGGGAGGTCATCACCCTGAACTGGTCTCTCTCATGTTTCAGTGTCATGATCTCATTCTTGGCTTCACTCAGATGAAGTTCTGTCCTCATCAGCTGGAGGTGGTTTTGTTTACATTCACTCTGTGCTTCCTCCAGCTGTTTCCTAAAGGGGAAATAAGTTTTCACATCTTTAAACAGTACCAGTACTGTCAACACTTTCTCACAATCAGTAGAGTTGGTTCTCAATATCTAGAAAAAGGGACATAACTGATAAAAACAGATAGTAGTGTCCCACAAGTTCTAATTATAAAATTACACCTTTTACCTTAAAATACATAAGGCATAACCCTCAAAACAGCACAAAAAAGAAAACTTTTTACACTGATAAGAATGATGATTAACAAGACAGAAAATCACAAAGTGCACAAAAACAAAAGTATTTTTGTCTACATTATTTATACACTGCATCATAGCATTATTCCAGAGAATCAGATTATTTAACTTATTAATATCAAACAGATGCAACATTAGTTTTACTACAGTTTCAAATGCATAAAATAAAAAGCTTTATACAAAATTATTTCACAAAATGACCATGTTAGTTTACTAGAGCATGCCAGCACCACTTCCAGAGTACAAAATTATGATATATCAAAGTTAAATGAACGCTAAGAGCTTGAGTGGAACACCCAGGGAAAGCCGAAGAGAGGGTGCCCAAGACAGACCTGGAGGCGGAGTCTTCTTGAAGAAATGAAGCCAACAGTGATGTATTGGGAGATGGCAAAATTAATAGCCGGGGATCGGAAGAAATGGTGGAGGCCCTATGTTCCATGAGGAGCAAAGAGGAGTAAGTCAAGTCAAATGACTTGATACTTTATGTCTCAGGACAGCCTTGACAGGAGTGTTGATATTTCAGTATATGAATTAGAACTTACTTTGTTTGCTTGATGATACCCTGCAGGAAGTTGATGTACAGCCTGTCTTTATCACTGCCTTCTTCCAGGTTAGGCATTGGAATGTCTTGCACAACTGTAGTCTATGGTTCACAAAAAGTTAAGGTTGAGGTTAATGCTTACTTATAACAGTTAAATATGGCAAACATTAATTTTTAGATAATCAAACATTAGTATCTTGTAGGCAGGGGTTAGCTTCCCTTAACTAAGGTGTGGTCAAAAACATGATTGCTGGACTCAAGTTCAGTTATAGGGCTAGAGTCAAAGGTCATCCCTTAATTCACTGGAAAAAAAAAACATGTGGCTGAGCATTAGGCTGACCACACAATCCCTGTTACCTATAATGCAAAGAAAAAAAAAATCAAACTCTACTTCATCTATCCTTCGTCAGGTCTAAAGCAGTACTTCCTTGCATCCCTTAATTTGGATGGATATATCTTTTAGGTAATAATACAAACCAGCCAAAAATACAATATTAGGCTTTGGGTTAAATTGTGAGAAAATTAAATTTGGTCATCTACAATGGTATTGTTTCTGTTAGTGTTAGCAGTAGCAAGTACCTTGAGAGAAGTCTCTTTCTTGTACAGTGCCTCAGTCAGCTGAATGTTTGTTTTCATTTTAGCCTCCACTTCACGTTTTAAAGCTTCAACTTTTTCTTTATCATATCCTTTGCCAGCGGTTTGTCTTAGCAATAAAATTTGTTGCTGAAATTCAGAATAATAAAATGCATTAGCATACATTTTTATTTAAAAATGCAAACTTAATTTGGATTCTTTTGTTTTTTAAAGCAGGCAGCTCTATATTTAAAGTTTTTAAAAACAAATTAGCATGTCTACATATACTGAATAAGGTGTCATCCTATTTACAATGTCCACATTAGGGGAACGGGGTTGATTTAAAATCAAAACACACATATGCCAAATACCTTTAACCTTTTGTTTTCCTTCTGTTCTTTAGTGAGTTGCTCTTCTAGCTGGCCAATGCTGGTCTCTAGCTTCACTATTTTTTTCTCAGCAACAACTCTCCGATCATCAACCTAAACACAACATTAATTCCATGAGCAATAGTAAAAATGAGACTTATTTATTAAAAAAAAAGGCATATTCTAATTAACTGAATATATCTTCTAATGAAGTAAATTCATGAAGTGTATTCTAGACTCTGTGCATTGTGGTAATTCATAAAAAAAAGAGATGTTTTAGTAAATTACAATTAACTTTTTGAGTATCTAATACTCCAGTCTCTTATGAGCAAACTTTAAATGAGCTAGGATTAGAATCCAATGCTAAACTAGGTTTCTATTCTTTGTTTAAACTCTACACCTAATGGAAGATTTAGCCTGTGGTACATTAATTTTTTATTCAAAGTTTTTGATATTGAAAAACTTAAGTAAATAGTAGTTAAAGTTCAAGACAATATTAATTAAAATGTTTACAGAAGTTGTGAAGGAGGAGTAAAAACAGGAATAAAAACATATTTAAGTATACTACCTCTGAAAAAAGAGAGTTTCCTTTCTTCCCTGTATCCACCTGCCCTGCTTCTGACTCCAGCTGTGCCCGCAGCTCCAAATTTTCCTCACGCAATCTCTGTACAATCAGAAATAATTGTTTATGTAGATGTAGAAAAATTATTAAAATAAGGAGATGAAACAATTAAAACTTATGAGTAGTAGAGAAAAAAATGTCATTGGTTCTTAAATCTTTTACTGTAAAAAAATTAAGATAGTCTGACTAGTTTTATTCTTACCTCATACATATTACATTGTGAAGTGTATTGCATTTCCATGCATTCTATTTCTTCATCTTTTTCTTTTAAATCTTGTTTCAACTGTAAATTTTCTTCATTGATCTTCTGAAGTTCTACAGCAGCTTCTATTAGCCGAGATTTAAGTAATTCCTAAAAAGAAAATTAGAAGCTAAATGCAAATTTTTGTTTTACTAATGCTGAGTAAGAAAAATAAAATTTTTGCTATGTTCATTAGAAATAGGGACCTATAGAAATAAAAAAACTAATGTAGAAATATCTTTAAAAATAAACAGAAAATCATAGGTATTTCCAGCTATTTAAAAATTTACTATGATCTACTTAAAAAAAAAACAATATTAAAGAAGTAGTTATTCCAATCTCACCTTTTCATCCTCAAGTTCAGATATTCTAATTTGAAGGGAAGTAATTTTCTCATCATCATTATCTCTGGCTGAGGTATCTACTGACACAGCTGTCTCTAGAAGATGCTTCAGTCTTTTCTCCAGATAGATAACATCTTCTTTGGCTTTTTTCTCTGATGCTTGTGTTTCCTCAAGACACTGCTGCATATCTTCTATCTTAAGATAAAAATGTAATGTGTTGTTAAGAAATACAACTGAAACAGGATTTACAGGACACAGAAATACTTTTGTAACAAATACAGGCATAGGAAAGGACTTGATATAATAATTACTTGCTGTCTGTACATCAAATCACTCTTCATCTTGTCTTCACTTAAAGAACCTCTCAGTTTTCGTCGCTGTTCTTCCAGTTCTGATCGCAGGTCATTGCATTCATCTTCAAGATGGCGAACATTTGCCGATAAATTTTCTATCTGACGATGTGCTGTGTGTAATTCTTGCTTTTTACGCTAAAAAAAAAAAATCCATATTTTATAGGCCCAACTACCACAATTTTTTTACAACAATTGAGATGACAAACTTGCTAACATAGTATTTGTTTATACAAAATTTATAATTCAATACATTTAAATAATGGAAAAAAAATTTAATGAATAAAATTGATTGAGTTTTAAACTTAATAATTAGTTATATTTTAAAAATACAATCTTCTGGTGTGTGAAAAAGCTGGAAAATTTATACAAGGGATATCGCAAACATATGGTTAAATTTGTTATAGATACCTCAAGATCTTCAGCAAGAGGATCTTCTATTAACAAAGAAGTTTCCATAATCCTTGAATGATTTTACCAACTTTGTTGAATATTGATAATTTTGAAAAGGATCACATAAAAGCCATATCTGTGAAATAAAATTTAATACAGGTTAGAATATGTTAATATTTTTAGGCATGGTAAGCTAGTTAATGTGTTTGACCAGTCTACAGGATTCATCTGCCTATAAAATGCATGTACTATGTAACCACGGGGGAGGGGGGGGGGGTGGGAGAGAAAGTTTGTGGAAACTCCCCTAATTAGTTTTATATTATTGGGTAAGCTAGCTATCATGATCATATGCATGTTTTGAGTAGATGAAATTGAGGTAATCTGTTAGTGTTCCTTGACCACAGCATACAAAGGGATGGTGTGGTGGGCACTGCCCAGCTGCCTTTACTTTCCCTAACATCAACATGAGTCAAATTGCCATAAGAGCTCGGTGGACTCAGGAACATCAGGAAAAAGTACTCAAATTCAAATACATGACTGTAGTGAGTAGTGTATACTCACTGTATACACTATCAATTATAGAAGAGATCTAGAATCTAGAAATCTAGCTAGAGAAATCATTAGAAATAGAAAATGTGAAAAATAGTCAAACAGGCCTACTACTAACTTTCTTATTTTATTACTAAAAAACTAAATCGTAAATAGTTACTAATAATTAGTGACTAATTAGGCCTAAGTAATTATTTATAATTTTTAAATTTTAGTGACATTTTTGCTTTTACTTTTGTTTTTTAATTTAGTGATTTTTTTAAGTGTATTTTTTTGATTGAGTGAACTAGATGTCTAGATCTAGAATTCTAGATCTTTTCTAGGCTAAGATTCTATTTACATTGCTTTTATTGTCTCCAAAACCTTTAGAGGTAGGATCTAGATTTATTCACTTCGAAATATATGTATAATTATGTAATTTTATTGACTTACAAAATTATAAAATTTATCAACAATTTTAATACAATTTAAATAGTGCTTAGTTACCCGCCTTTGTTTTTACGATCCAATTCCGGTATTTTTTTCCTTAAAAGACGGACGGGAAAATTTAGCGTCTTAAAAACCATAATATTGTCTACAAATCATTCAAATTCAAATACATTGATAACGTTCACACAACTCAACTTAAATATTGCTAATACAATTTTTACAATATTTAAACTTACGAAAATCTGTACTTTAAAAAAAATGGGGAGCTACTAAGTTAAAAACTGTTTATTATAAAGGTTGAGTAGGTAGCTGGGATAGATTTCTATAAGAGGCGGACGCAATATTTTCAATAAATAGAAAATGTTAGTAAGATGAAAAAAAAGTCAATATCTTTAAAAAGAAAACAAGATTGATTGAGATCTATTCTCTTCGCATTCATAGATCCTGGTTTTGTCTATTTTGTTTTTAAAAAAATCACATTATAGAGAGATGTTTTTTGTTTGTTGCGAGCTTGCTTAAAAATACTTCCTCACATCTCAACGTTTATTCTAGCATATTTGACAGGCTAACTTTATTAATTAACCAAATTGAATATGAATTTAAACATTGTTTTCTGAAAGGGGGTGGGCTAGAGTTTTCACTTTTGGTACGATGTCTGATGTGTGTGTGTAAGGGTGGGGGGGGGGGGGAGGTTAAGAAATGTGAGTAGCATAGGCTTCTATTTTGTAAATCAAAAGCTGTTTTAAAAACTTGACTATGCACAACAGCTCAATTGAAATCAGATTAAAGACGATTAGGGCTAATAAAATTTGCCCACATTTAATCTAGCCTATATTTTGTCTTTATAACTGCATTTAAAAAAAAAATTGACAGGTCGGTCCTACTAACTTATGGCTCTAAACTGATTTACTTAAGTGTACTGTGATCTTAGTTTATCAAAATTACGTTTTATCAGTCTAGCTAGAGGAGCTGCGATAACAATACAATTTCAACAATTGCGTTATTTAATGTGCGTTAATTAAATTTAAAAAAAAATCTACTCAAATCCTTTCATATGCAAATAATTCTTATTCTGTTATAATGTAAATTCTTATTATGGGATGATGTAGCCTACATCTAGATAAAGCCCATTTTAAATTCTATAACAGCGCTATTTCAAAGCGGGAAACTGTCATTGACTCAAAACAAAAGACAGCTTATTTGTTATGCTAGACGCGATGGGTTATTATCAACATTAATTGACTGAAATTTTATTAAAAAGTAGAGATAAGTGTTTGGATAAGACATTAAAAATAATGGAAACATTAGCGTTCACATATAGCATACACAGACTAAATAGCACTATTTTATTTAAACCGTGTATTCACCCCACCGCCCCATCCCTAAAGAAATCAACATTTTGTTTCATAGCCGCTAACTGAGTGCAAGTTTTTATTCAATTGAAAGTATCAACTTCCGATGAGAAAGAACTGTAAAATGTAAAAAGGACAATGAATTTTCCCGATTTTTAGAGAAAAATGACCAAGACTGCAGATGCAACATGATAATTACCACAAACCAGGCGTTAATTTTACGGGATGTTGACGGACAGCATCAGTAAGTTATGTGCAGTAAGTCATAATGTAACCCATAATAAAACAGTCATACCCGGCTGTCCTCATGATAACTCTGTGATTGGTTGATTTGGTGTTGTGTTCTGCTATAGTAAGGCTATGCACAGAGGTGGGGGGAAAGGGAGGTGGGGGAACTTGTTTTCATGAGGACACCAGTTTTTGTAGCTTCACTTTTAAATAGTACATCTAAATCTAGGTTCTTTAATTGGCAATCATATTAATTAGCCAAATAGGCCTAAATAATAAAAAAAAAATTAGGGGCCTAAATTTCTATTTATTTATTAATAAATTAGCCCTACTCTAGGCCCTAGGCTTATAATATGGAGGGGGGGGGGGAATTCTACTTTTATAGACCTAATAAAATTATGCCTACCTAAATAGCATGGAACTATGGGGGCATGCCCAACTAACAAAATAACTATTTGCTATTAACTTTAGTTTAGTTAGTAGTAGACCTAGCCTACAAAATATTAGACCTGATTAGGCCTAATTAAACATTATTAAATTTCAAGCCCATAGGCCTAATGCCTAATAGTATTAAGCCTACTAATTTTAAATAAATGGGCCTAGAAATAGCCTATAGGCCTACAGTCTAACTATTCCGTCTTTTGTCAATTTTACATGAGTATAGGCCTATCTATTGCCTACTTAGTTATAGAGACTTTCTTAATTAGCAATAACCCTACAGTTTAGGCTTTTTAGATATAACTAAGTACTATAATTGGGCCTAGGCCTATTAAATATGGTTTATGAATTATAAAGTACTATTCTTATCCTAGTTATTGTTGATTAATTTTAAAATTCAATAGGCTAATAGGACTATACATTTTTAAATTATAGACAAGAAAGAGGATATTTTACTTAGATTAGTTATTCTTTAGCACTAGTAAATTAATTGGTAGACTATATTTTCAGCTTCCAAGGGCAGAAATTAAGGGGCTGCATTTTAATATGAAAATAAGCTCAATTCATTCTTCGTTTTTAGATGGGGGGAAGGGAAAGAAGCATTTTATCCATGATTGCAAAAAGATTTTGTATTTGTAAACAGTTTATTAGCCTAAATCGTGTTACTTATACCAATAGGTTTAGAATAGAAATATTATAATAAATACTAATGCCATTAGTTGTTTCCCTTTATTTATTAATTTTGTTTTTTGTTTGCATTTAAAGTTTTCTTCTTGAATAGTAGTTCAGTTTTTTCTTTGTGTAAATGATGTTTTATCTGTAAAAAAATAAATTTTATTTCAGGTATTACAAATGTGTTTTAAAAAAGAATATAAAAACAGCTATCTATCTAACTCTGAAATAACAAAAATAACTTATTAGGGATAGTACATATTGTTTAATGTGAAGGGGGTAGCAGGTGGTTTACCATCTTGTTGTGTTGTATGTTATGGGAGGGTGTTATTGAGCAGTGTTATAAAACACTACATTTAAAAAAAAATGGTTGGACAATTAACCTGATTTTAACTGGTATATACATCCTTCCTTTTTTTCATACATACTACTATAAAACCTAGTTATTATATTTAAAGTAAAGTTTCCCTTTCAAACCTGATGGTCTATGGGGCAAGTGAAGTAGAGTTCACTTGTTTCTGTGACCTCGGCATATGAAGAGATAGTGTGGTCAGCACTAAGCCCAGCCGCCTTCACTTTCCCTAACGTGAGTTAGGTACCCATCAGAGTTGGGTGGACTCAGGGACGGTCTACTGACTTGAACCCGGATTCAAACTCGAGACTTACGGGTTAGCAGTCCAGCTCTCTACCGCTAGACCACTCTGTTGTATTTAATGAAGTTGAAAAAAGCTTTTTTTTCTCTAAAACGATATAATTATGAAAATTTATTTAAACACAGAGAAGGTTGTTCTAGTTCCAAATAACAGTGATATAATATTTTGTACGACTGTCTACGGGAATGTTTTCAAATGTTATATAGGAAACGTTGTGTCTAAATGTCCTTTCTACAGCTATTTATTATTTACGTGATTGCTAAATTTTGAAATCATATCATTTGATTTTTATCTTCAAATAAATGCATTTCATGAATGCTTCTAACAAACAGTAGGACTAATAATTATTAAGATTAAATTATATTGGTAATTATTTTTTAAATGTCTATAATTACCATTTTGTGCTCTTCTGATTCTTTCTAAAGTACAAGCTTAGTTTACTGATTATTCCAGATTCATTCCTAAAAGTAATCATTTCAGATTGAAAAAACACTATTAAGTTTTAAGTAGTATAAGTAGTAGAAACTCGTTCGTCAATTTGTTATTTTCATTTTATAAACTCCATGCAAATATAATTTTACTCCTCCAAGTTACTTTAAATCTGAACAGACCATCCAGTTGTATTGACTAAAGAACAAACTGCATGTCGTTTTAATATAGAATTATTTCCTATGTCCAGCTTAATTCTATAGATTAGCATTTAAAATTTCACTGTTTAAGTATATTTTATTTTAGTTAGGCCTAGTTGACATTTTTTTTCTTGCAGGTTACATTTTTTTGCTTACCTACCTTTTTATAATTCTAAAGCAAGCACAAAGTTAGTTTATTCATTTCTAAAATTTAAGTGCATAATTTCTAATAATTTTCCCCCTTTTTTGTCTTGGACTGAGACCGTACAGTGCTTTATTTAAAGTTAAACTTAAAGCATTTTTTTTCAGAGATTTGCTATCTGTACTTGGGGTGGCATCCTCTAGGCTTAACAAAATTTAGATTGGTGTTATATATTAAGGAGAAAAACATACTGTGAATTTTACATAGTTGATAATCTATAAGGTAATTTTCTTTCTTTGTACAAAATTGTACAAAAAACTGGAATATAAAAAAAAAAATAGCAAGTAGTATGATCAATTAAAAAATATAAAACTGTTAAAAGTTACAAGAAGTTGTCCATAAACGAACAGCATCTTAGGTAGTTTTTACACCTAGCATTACATCATCCCTCCTGCCAAGTGATAAACACCCCTTTAAGTTATACACCTCTTAAAGTAACCATAGTTCTAATGATACCAAACAAGATTTCATGATTTTCATTTTTAAGAAATACAAAATAAATGCTATATCACATTTCAAGCCCACACCCAATTGCCATATATTTTATAGGCTTACAAGGTTGATAGTTCTAGCTGTCAAACCTCCCAGATGCTAACCAGGGTCTAAAACTAAACCCATAGTAATTTTAACCCAACCCCTTGTCATGGTTTTATTTTTATTTTAGAACAGTATCTTGTTCATTATTAATAAAGGGACTTAATACATTCTTGTACAGATTTTTATTTTTAAAAATCTTCTGCAGCAAAAAATATATAATGAACACAGTGTTTTAATGTCAAATAATTTATTTAAACTTTTCTTTTCTATCCCCTTCTATTTAACAATGCTGTACAATGGGAGGTTTTTAGTAAGTTTAAAATATAGTCTCTTTATGTTGATACTCCTAATATGTGATTATTTTACTATGATCTTACTAATAGATTACTTTGCTATGTTTATGGAGAAAAATCTAAATGTACTTAGCATATTTGTCCATAAATAGTGGTTGTTGATAAATGAAGTCACACTCCTGGGGGGTAGAGGGGACAGGGAGGTGTCACAAAGTGTGACAGCACACATGCATTTTATAAAGTAATTTATAATTTTTCAGTCTGGCATTTAGTGATTTAAAAAAAAAAGCTTGATGTCATTTTATGGACCACCCCTAAACTTTAGAGAAAAAACTACAGATTGACAGCCATGACCCAAAAACACACTTCTTAAATTCTTCTTTTTTAAAAATCTGATGGTTTTGATCTAATTTATTATGTGTTTCTTAACATGTCTGTGGTTGTTAAAATAACCTAAAGGGATGCAATCAAGAAATAAAAAATCAAATTTTACTTTAGTATTTGAAGAAAGTGAAACAAAAAATAGTAAATTTTTTAATTACAATGATGAGTAACGTTATTTAAAAATATTGTTTCATAGAAACCTAAAGAATGATGATTAACTTGAAATGTCATTTCTTTCCAATGTAATCTTTGAGATAGAATTTGTTAAAGGTTTTGCCTGAAAAAGAACTGAGATGATGTTTCATGGGAAATCTTTTAATTGATTAATATGTGTCGGTAATATGAATCTGGGAAGTTAAGACGGACAAGATCTCCAGACTGTCATATTTATGTACCAATTATTTGTTTATATAGAGAGTTGCTACGTGATGTAGCTACAAATAAGGATTGAACTATCATCTTTACATTATATATATATATATATATATATATATATATATATATAAACCTCTTCAGTTAAAGTTTTCTCAGTTTTAGTAATATTTGTGTTGCCTGGCTAATTCTACTGTATGTGGATAATTCATTTAGTTTTTTAATTTATATTCTTTTTTTAACTGCCTTTGTTTTTGAAAATTTTTCTCTTTTCGTATCCAGATGTAGTTTAAAAAAGTAGAAATAAGCTTACTATCTTTCATCATCAACTACATGCATCATATCTTTATTTATTGTCGCTGATGGCTGTAATAATAGAGCAAGATTTGGGTTTATATACATTAAAGATTTAGTCAAGTGCTGCTAACCAAATTGCTATTGCATTGGTCAGGTTTGAATATAATACATATGATAGACAATTTTGCTACGGTAAAGTTAAAATGTAGTACAGTGATAGTCGGCATAGTTGAGGTCAGGTTTGAATGAGGCACTGTGATAGTCTATATAGTTGAGGTCAGGTTTGAGTGTAGCAGTGTGATAGCATAGCTGAGGTCAGGTTTGAGTGTAGCAGTGTGATAGCATAGCTGAGGTCAGGTTTGAATGTAGTACAGTGATAGTCAGCATAGCTGAGGTCGGGTTTGAGTGTAGCAGTGTGATAGTCAGCATAGCTGTGGTCAGGTTTGAATTTAGCACTGTGATAGTCAGGTTTGAATGTAGCACTGTGATAGTCAGCATAGCTGAGGTCAGGTTTGAATGTAGCACTGTGATAGTCAGCATAGCTGAGGTTGGGTTTGAATGTAGCACTGTGATAGTCAGCATAG